AGCTACAGCTGCTACGCTTCCGAAAGTGAGTAGCATTAAAAGAACAATGGCATGTACGAATTAATCAGCAAGCCGCTCCTGCTTTACCTCTTCACAGAAGAGACATTGCTTTTCCAGAAGAGTATAAACTAACAAAAAATGTAGAACAATTTTTATTATTTGATTCAGGCCCACACGATGATCGGTTGTTAATTTTTTCAACCAGACAAAATCTGTTTTTCTGGCAAGGTCACAACACTGGTTTGCCGACAAAACTTTCAAAACTATGCCTCACCTTTTTTATCAGCTATATACAATCCACGGATTAGATAAGAATACTGCGATTCCTTTAGTATACGCACTACTACCTAACAAGGCAGAAGAAACTTATGTTCGGTTACTTTCAAATGTAAGAGAACTTTTGCCAGATGCTTCGCCTGCAACCATATTAACAGATTTTGAAAGCGGTATGATAAGTGCGATAAGACAACAATATCCCGATTCAAGACATCGTGGGTGCTTTTTCCATTTCAGTCAATGTATCTTTAGAAGAATCCAGGCAGACGGTTTAAAAAGAAGGTACGAAACTGATGCAGATTTTGCTTTAAAGCTCCGATAATTGTCAGTCTTAGCATTCATTCCTACTGCAGACGTAGTGAAGGCATTTGAAACCATTTGCGAGCAAGATGTGTTACCTGCAGAAGCCCAGTCAGTAATTGATTATTATGAAGATACCTGGATCAGGCGTCCAAAAAGAGGTAGACGACGTTTGCCCTTATTTTCACATGATCCGTGGAATTGTTATGATGGGGTAAGTTTCCCAAAAACAAACAATTCCATAGAAGGATGGCATCGACGATTTGAACAACAGATTTTCGCAGATCATCCAAACATTTAGAGATTTATTAGAGCCATTCAGCTGGAGCAGAGCTTACATAAACTGCAAATTGAACAGTATGTAGGAGGCTTGAAAGGCCCTCCTACACGTAAAAAATACAGAGATTGTGCAGAACGGATTTCAAGTCTGGTAAATAATTACGATCCTGCGAACACTTATGAAATCTTACGGGGAATAGCACATAATTTATCGTATTAGTATGAATACATAAAAAGATCAAATGCATAATTAAATTAAAAAAATAATTAAAAATCAAAATAAATTGTAAAAAAAAACAAAAACCAATAAAACGCAAGAAAAATTTAAAAAATAAATAATCTTAAAAAGTGACAAATTGGATGTTTTATTCTAAGCTCTAAACACGCCAGCGGTACGCTGCCTGGGTAAAGTGTGAAGAAAACATGTAATAAAATATATATTTTATAATAATAAATTAATTAGATTTAAAATTTTACATTTTTCGGTTAATTCTCCTTTCGGGCAATTGTTTTTCGGGAAATTGTCTATTCGGTCAATTGTCCATTCGAACAATTGTGTTTCGGGAAATTGTCCATTTGGACAATTGTCCATTTGGGCAACTGTTTTTGGGAATTGTCTTTCGGGAAATTGTTTTTGGGCAGTAGTCCTAGATCCCCGTTACGGTGCTAAAAAAAATAACAGCCAGTGAGGATCGCTTTCTTACCATTGCTTCTTTACGAGACCAAACGCAAACCACTAGAATGCTTCAAAGCAGTCTTCAGCAAACTCATGGAACAGCCGTCAGCACTTCTATTATTCGGCGGACGTTAAGAGAAACTAGTTTGTTAGCTTGCAGTCCGGCTACAGGACCCTTGCTTACTGCAGCACACAAAAGACGCAGACTTGCTTTTACTCGCGAACATATGAATTGGACAGTGGACGATTGGAAAAATGTACTGTTCACGGATGAGTGTAGAATATGCATATATGGCAAAGATGGCCGAAATGAGGTTTACAGAGGAGCTGGAAAACGTTATGCTGCCTGTACTCGGTGGTGGCTCAGTAATGTTTTGGGCAGGAATTTCTTTTGAGGCACACACGGATCTCGTTATTATTGACAGAAGCGCATTAACATCACGACGATACATAATAGAGCTCCTAGAAGAGCACATAATGCCATATGCTGGGTTTGTTGTCAACGGTTTTCTGCTAATGCAGGATAACGCGTAATCACACACGGCAAGGATGGTAACACCTTGAAGGTTGGTATTTCCAAAATGGATTGGTTTCCTCTAAGCCCGGATCTTAATCCTATTAAACCTGTTTGAGATCGGCTCAAAAGGCGAGTAAGAGAAATGGACCACTTTTCCTGAAGCAAACATTCAGAACTTGCTGATTTCTATGCCAAATCGAATTAGGAGAGTCATCCAGAATCGGGGTGGCAACACGCCGTATTGAAAAGTGATCCTCCCCATTTCTTGCATTTATTGCAAAATAAACTGTAACTGTAATTTTTCAATACATTTATGATTTCTCTAATTTTTTGCTTTCTTTTCGTTTGTGATTTATGGTAACAGCCAATAACATGGTAAAACAATAATTATTGACTTAATACACAATAGATTTATTGTTACAAAAATAAGATATATTTAAAAAGATAAATTATTTCTTAAATTTTTTAGGTGGCCCGCAGTGTATTTTGAAACTTTGAATAAATATTATTATATTAGTATTAAAATATTGATTAATAGAAATCTCACCACACGGTAAGCAAATTGATATAATAATTCGTGACTTTCAAATATATTTTTAAATTAAAGATCATTATTATGTTAAAATGTGTTGCCGTGACTTTTTCTAAGAGGCCGCTCTCATTATTTCCAAAAAGTGATAAAAGGATTAGTGTTCTTTAAACTCGTCATTGACATTATAATAAATGTAGCATATCCATCATAGTGTATAATTATTTTTATTTGCAAAGCAATATAGTTCGGCATTGATGTAACTTTTCTTTTAAAAACGTTAAATATGACACGTAATAGTTAACATTATTTGATAACGTGACCTGCATAATAGGATTTAATGACATTTCTCGTTTATTTGTTAAATTTCAACAAGAGAAATTGAATAGGTTATAAATTATTAGTTTTTGGACAACGTGAAACACTTAAATAAATGAAGTGAGGTGAATTATTTACTAAGACAGCCGCTGCCGAATAGTGGGTATGACGTAACAGTTATTTACGTAAAAAATGCTGAAAATATTCAATTAGTGGATGAGTTAGCAAATTATAGGACTAAGCCGTAGGCTATCATAAAATAGTCGCATTCTTATTCAGATGTTATTTTATTAAAATTCGTTTTAAGAGTATTTTCGGGTTTTCACTTACAATAGATTTGGAAACAGAGTTGACGGAAGGAACCACTTACATGTATATCGAATTTGAGTACAATCTCCCGGTTTCAGATAGAACACATAAAAATAACAAGACAAGATTCTATATATCTTTTTCTATAATGGATACCACTGGAAAGCACATTTGGCTTATTTAATTTGCCAGGGACGAACAACTTTAGCACAATATTGTTAATAATTTTTACTTCCTGTATGATAAAGACTAGGGGTGGGCAATAATCGATAAATCGATTAATAATCGAATAATCGAATAGTCGATCATTATATATTTTTTAAATCGATAATCGATTATTCGATTATTTTCGATTAATCGATTATTTTCCAATAATCGATTATTTTCGATTAATCGATTATTTTCGATTAATCTATTATTTTCGATTAATCGATTATTTTCGATTATTCGATTATTTTCTATTAATCGATTATTTTCGATTATTTTCGATTATTTTCGATTATTTTCGATTATTTTCGATTATTTTCGATTATTTTCGATTATTTTCGATTATTTTCGATTATTTTCGATTATTTTCGATTATTTTCGATTAATCGATTATTTCCGATTAATCGATTATTTTCGATTATTCGATTATTTTCGATTAATCGATTATTTTCGATTAATCGATTATTTTCGATTAATCAATTATTTTCGATTAATCAATTATTTTCGATTAATCGATTATTTTCGATTAATCGATTATTTACGATTAATCTATTATTAAAAGACGTTCGCGGACATTACGGCTATAGCCGTCAATTGTTTAGTCCTTTTGTGGGTAATGACGGTCCAAGCCGTCTCGTATGTTTGCTCTTAATAATCAAACAGCAGCCAAGCCCGTCGTATATCTCGTGTTGCGCTATGAAGAGCAGAAGAAACTGTTCTAACAAGGACCATTTAAATTAATAAATTGTCCCATTTACGCGATTAGTTTCAAGCATGTGTCCAAGGTTTGCAGGTCTGTTCACGTTTTGTTTCGGCGGCTATGCCCGTCAGTATTTACATTGCGCATTCATTAGTTGAGGAAAAAGTGTTAAAGTGAGTGCATGTTTGGTTTTTCACTGCGGGAAGATTACAAATAAAACGTAAGTAGTTCTATATTTTTTTCATTTTGGGGTCCCAATCCAAATAAAACATGTTTCTTTTGCAAAATAACTGTTGTACAAACTACGTAATATAGTAAAATTTCGAGTAGTTTCATTTTCGTTTGTTTTTTTTACTGCAGGAAGATTACAAATAAAACGTAAGTACTTTTTTTTATATAAATAAAAAGTTCCTTGGTTTTATTCAGTCTATTTATTGTTTTTATACAATTTTCTCATAGACACTACATATGTTTCGGAAACACAGTTCCATCTTCTGGTGTCAGTCAATTTAAATATAATTTGGGGACGATTAGAGCACGCTGCTAAACAAAAAGACAGGCTTTTATGTATTTTTAAAATGTTTGTAATCGTCCCTAAATTTTATTGAAATTGACTGACACCAGAAGATGGAACTGTGTTTCCGAAACATATGTAGTGTCTGTGAGAAAATTGTATAAAAACAATAAATAGACCGAATAAAACCAAGGAACTTTTTATTTATATAAAATTCAACTACGGTCAGAAAATTTATCCATATTCGTAAGTACTTTTATATTTTTTTAATTTCAGATATCAATCCAAATATAACACGTTTCGTCTGCAAAATAACTGTCGTACAAACTACATAAAATAGCAAAATTTTTAGTCGTTTTTTTTTGTTTCCAGGCAATGTCATACGAAGACGAGCAAAGACGTCTGCAAAAATTGTATGATCTTTACTGTGGCGATAGCGATAACGAAAATAGAACTCAGTTGCCCGAAAATTTCGAAGAATCAGAACAAGAAGTTTCCGACGTGTCAGAACCAGAGGTGTTTCGTGATGATGGAAAATACAGTGGGGACCCTGATTACATGCCAAATAATGATGATGAAAGCAGCAGTGAAGAAGAAGCAGAAGAAACGCATAGTCAGCAGAGTGGAAGCATTGAAAATAGGACTGATGCTGAAGAAAATACTGATGATGACGTTTGGTGTGAAAATACAAAACCTATTCCTAATTTTAATTTTCTTAATGATTCTGGGCCTAAAAAAGTAAACGCAGATTCTACCCGCTTTGACGTATTTCAAACCATTTTCACTGACGAGGTTATTGATATGCTGGTGACATCTACTAATATTTATGGAAAAAAAAACTTTGTGAATCAAATAGACCATCAACAAGAAATAGACGCATGATGAAATTCAAGGAAACGGATAAAGCAGAACTAAGAAAATTTATGGGAATCTGTCTATTGCAAGCTCAAATGAAGGCCCCTAGTGTGAGACATATTTTTAGTAACCATTATTTGTACTACCATCCAATTTTTCCATTTACTATGTCAGGTCGTCGGTTTGAACAGCTCTTAAGATGTTTTAGTTGCTACGAGACACCAGACACAGATAAAACAGCTAAGCAAAAAAAGCTTGGAAAAATATCTCCACTAGTGAAGTTAATCATAGAAAACTTTCAAGAATCCTATACTCCTAGCGAAAAGTTGTCACTTGATGAGTCGCTTTTTTTATTTAAGGGCCGCTTGAGCTTTCGCCAGTACATTAAAAATAAAAAAGCTCGATATGGGATTAAATTTTTTGAATTAACCACCTCGGATGGATATGTCCTTAATTTTGAGATATATCAAGATTCTGTTGGTAAACGGTTAATGGAGCCTTACTTTGATCGTGGACACCACCTCTACATGGATAATCTTTACAATTCGGTAAGCCTGTCGGAAGAAATGCTTCGTCGAAACACCCATACTACAGGAACACTGCGTGCAAACAGAAAGCGAAATCCAAAGGAAATTACCCAAAAGAAGCTTGTAAAATGCGAATTTATTTGGAGAAGGTCGAACGACGTATACGTCGGAAAATGGAAAGACAAACGCGAAATTTTATTTATAACAACTGCCAATCATCCCGAACTTATAGAAGTACCAAACAAATTTGGTCACGTAAAAACTAAGCCAAGGGCGATTGCTGATTATAATGACAATATGTCTGGAATAGACCGTGTGGATCAAATGGTACAATACTACTCGTCACCGCGCAAGACAATCCGCTGGTATAAAAAGGTGATATTCCATATTTTGGATTTGTGCGTTTGGAACTCCTTTTTTATTTTTAAAAAGTTTCATCCAAAGGAAACTTTTCTTGACTACAGGAATATTATTATACACAATTTGCTGCAAGTTCCTTCTTATATTACTAACGGTAAAGACTTGGTTATTAAGGCAAGAGGTGGTCGTCCCAGAGTATTGAATAATATTGTCGAACCTGGACCATCCAACCAAAATGTTGGTCAGGTATTCCAGCATCATTTTCCAGAGAAGATTCCCGCCCTTGCAGATTTTAAAAGAAAAACATACTTTTTGCGATGCAGGGAATGTTCAAAAAAAAACATAAGAAAGGAAACTTCGTACAGGTGTAAAGTATGTCCAGATAAACCAGCATTGAGTCCTACATGTTTTGAAGATTTTCACCAACGTATTTTTCATAATGCTGCCTAGTTGTTATCTGGCTACTCTTTTTACAATTATTATAGTAAAAATATACTGCGTAAATAAATAAATATTATATGCAATACTGTAAGGGGATAGGTCGATTTTACTTTTATGTGTGATTTGTAGCTTTGGGAGCTCGTATGCTTTAAGTTTGTTTGGACGGTAATAACCGTTATTTGCATACACAGCACCAAGATACATTGTAAATGCAAACGACGTTCATAGCCGTCTTTTCAAAAAAATTATTGAATGCTAATTTTAAATTGACCTTATACTAAAATAAATGTTTCAAACAAAAAAAACTTTTATTTTGTTTCAAAAACTCACTTTAGGAAAACTGTGCACCTGGGTTCTATTCCTTGTGTAAAACTGTCCGCGAACGTGTTTTAACGATTAATCGATTATTAACGATTAATCGATTATTTTCAATTAATCGAATATTTCCGATTAAATTATTTTAAATTATCGATTAATAATCGCCCAATGATTACTTCGAATTCTTGTTCTTCAGTAAAACTTCCATAATTTCCTATTTTAATGCCAAAAAGTGACAGACACAAAAAAAATTATGGAAAAAGTCCGTTGCCCTTCCCCTAATGAGATGCTTATGAACGAAATAGAAAAATTGATGTCATTGTCATAGTTGGTTAAAAGTAACATTAATAACTTCAGTATTAACCCTAAATCAATGTCAACTCACTTATTGTGACCTAACTGATACTTAGAAGTTGTCATAAAAATCACTAAGAACGGCCTTTTTCTGTAAGGACCCCGCCCTTTTCTAATGGCAAAGTGGCGTTTTGTCAAATGTGATACATTTTGAATATGATGTTGTACTCGACTTGTTGACCAAAAGTGTTTATGGGACCAATTTAATCATATGACTAGTTTTTAAAATACAGGGTGTTAAAGTCGAGAAATCGTATTTCTTAAAACTACGTAAATTAATTAAAAAGAAAAAAAATAAGCATTTTCAGTTGATTGTAGCATTAATATGTTCTAGTCTAACGCAAACGTATACATAAATAGTTCAAAATGTAAACATATACAGGGTGGTACTCAGTTACATCTGATATGGAATGAAAATATGGTCAAAAATAAAAACTTACATAATGTTTACTGTTTTGACATTATATAAACCCATTTTACATTATATGTATACAGGGTGATTGTTAATTCATTCCACAGAAAGGCGTTTCTTAAAAAAAAATTACACTCTGAATATTAGGAAATTTGGTATTAATATTGATTATGCATTTAATACCTAGAAAACAATACTGTTTATGGAATACAAGGTGACAGACACATCTAATTTGTATTTGATGCAGCAATAATTAAAGAAATATTCCTTTTTCAGAATCATCCCATATTTTTCATTTCGATCCGTCAAAATGTACGATCTATTTGTTTTTGTTATTACCTTTAAGCAATTAATAACTTTATATAATTTCATAATTTTAGTATGATCCGTTTTTGAGATTCCAATATATAGTGAACCATATTAAATATATCCACTCATGTATGTAGGTATAATAATTCCCATATACATTAGTGGATATGTCTGATATTTAGTATGGTTCACTGTATATTGGAATCTCAAAAACGGATCATACTAAAATTATGAAATTATATGAAGGTATTAATTGCTTAAAGCTTATAACAAAAATAAATAGTCCGTACATTTTGACGAATCGAATTGAAAAATATAGGGTGATTCTGAAAAATGAATATTTCTTTAATTATTGCTGCATCAAAAACTAATTAGATGTGTCTATCGCCCTGTATTCCATAAACAGTATTGTTTTCTAGGTATTATATGCATAATCAATATTAATAACAAATTCCCTAATATACAGTGTAATTTTTTTTTAAGAAACGCCTTTCTGTGGAATAAATTAACAATCACCCTGTATACAAATGTAAAATAGGTTTATGTAATGTCAGAACAGTAAACATTATGTAAGTTTTTATTTTTGACCATGTTTTCATTCCATATCAGAATCTCTCAGAATTTCTAAAAATTCCCCCTGGTGTAACTGAGTACCACCCTGTATATGTTTACATTTTGAACTATTTATGTGTACGTTTGCGTTAGACTAGGACATATTATTGCTACAATCAACTGAAAATACTTATTTTTTTTTTATTTTTAATTAAGTTATGTAGTTTGAAGAAATACGATTTCTCGACTTTAACACCCTGTATTTTAAAAACTAGTCATAGGATTGAATTGAATTGAATTTAAACATTGTAGATGAGTTTATTTATTGAATATCAAAAGATACTTCATTGAATAATCTGGGAGCAACTATAAGAAATACGAGACTAATTCGGCACGTCTTCAATTCGGTGATACCAGAAATTGGGAATCGGAAGTAAGGAACGCTTAAGAGCTTATGGAAACTACCAAAAGGGTCTCTTAGCAATTTCTTGAATTAATAAAGAGATAGGAAAGGGCTAGTAAGTTGGGAAACTATAATCTCGAAAACACTTCCATTAAAAATGTATGATAATAACTTCAAGATGGAATTAATAATTCGAGGGACAACACGTTTTAGTATAATTTAATTTTATATTCTTTATAAATCAAGGGAGTACAAAAAATTATTTTTGGATTTGGTCTGCTATCTGATATTTCGTGCGGAAATATAAAACAAAAACAAAAAGGAAAGTTTACATTGGCAACTCATTATTGACAAAAGACGTGAAACGTATAGAAGGCAAACAAACAACAACAAAACAAAATCTAATGTGTCCAACGCATTACCACGGCATAATAAACAATCGGCAGGCTAACTTGTCTTGGCGGCAACGCTACGCGCACATCTACGCGCACACCGCCATTTTGGGGTCCAACCTCTCAATCAAGCCAGTGGCGTCACTGTCGTCGTTTATATCGACAAAAACAAACAAGTTGCAGTAGCACGGAATCAGTAGCGTGTATATTAAATTTATTTTGTTTGTATTATGTAGTTATTGTTATTTTTTTAGAATTATAGATATTTTTTGACACTTTTTATATAGTAGTTGTTTTCCAGTGTTAATTTATTTACTTTTAAGTGTTTTACTATGTCTGGGCAAAGTTGTGCAGCAAAAAACTATGTGAATAAACTGTATTAAAAGATTTTTTCGGTTTCTTAAAGATCTTATTAGGTATGTATGGTACACTTTTAAAAAAATCCTAGTATATGAGTCAGTTTGTCAGTTATAAAGCTATTAGTAAGATGTAGGTAGGTGCCTAGTTAACGTCACGTAAAGTTTAGCGTCAATTTATATTTACTTATGTAGGTATATTATTAGGATTTAAAGTAAAATGT